CTTTTTTTCTGTCATACCATACATCCAGCAACTCCTATTGGCTCAAAACAGACCTAGAATCCAACCACTTCTCACCGCCTCCACTGTTACTCTCTAGATCCAGGCTAACATCACTTCTATACTATCGTAAAAGCCTAACAGGGTCCCAGCTTCTACCCTTGCCCCTTTAATTTGTTCTCAACATGGCGATCAGACTGGTCCTTCCAAATAAGTCACATCACAACACTCCTCTATTCAAAACTCTGCAGTAACTCCCTATTTCACTTAGAATATGAGGCAAAGACCTTACTGTGGCCTAGAAAAGCTCTACGTGATCAGCCCACCCCATTACCACCCTGACCTTAGTTCCCACAACTCTCTTGCTCACTTGGCTGCAGCCACAGTGGCCTCTTTACTGCTCCTTAAACACACCATGTCTGGCTTTCTGCCTAAAACACTCTTCTCCATCACATGTGTATATTCCCTCAAATTTCTTCATGTCAACTCAAATGTCACCTCAGTGAGGACTGTCCTAACCACTGCATTTAAAAAACAATTCCCATCACTCACCACCACCACATCATCACCCCCAATTTCCCTTCTGTTACTCTTCTTCCTTTTTTCCAGAGCACTTCTCACCTTTCCCATTTATGTACTAAGCAAACTTTAAATTTATGTTTTATGTTACTCATTCATTGCTGGTCTCCCCTGAATGCAATGTAAGCTCTGTCTCTGTCTATTTTATTGATTGTTATAACAATATAATGTGCCTGAAACAAAACATATACTCAATAAATATTTGATAAATTAAATATCTACTCCAGGAAACTTTTCCCACACTCAACTTTATCTACCGTGAACTTCACAGAAACACTGGCCCACTCTTCAGAACAAGCTATTGGATGTGGGCTTGTCAAGGGTCAGACGGGGGCCAAGACTGACTGGTGGGGTAGAAATGGGTGTGCGGCACCATGAACCTGAACAGACCACCATCTTAAAATGTCCAACCTTACAAAATGTCTGATCCATAAATTACCAATGGGTCTAGTGCTGGATTACTAAATTACAGGCCAGTTACAATGATCATGCTGCCCCTGGCCCAGGAAGTAACTGCAGTATCTTAAAAAATATTCTATAGTCTTTTATAACTAGAAGCGGCCTGAGATATCAATTGTTTCTTTCACAAATGAGGAAATAAAATCTGTGAATTCAAGTACCTTTCCCATAGTGAAATAACTAGTTACGAGAGAGCTAAGACCACCACAGAAATAGAAGACAGTTTTCCTCATCTATAAACAGAGCCTTCATCTGTTTTTTGGAGAACATTCACTGAAAGATTTTCTGAGGTCTCTTGGCTACAACAATCTATGACCATGATGATTACTTTTTGGAATTTATCAAACTAGAGTTTCATTCTAGTCATTTAAAAAAATTCTCAGGTTTATCGAGGCATAATTTACATACAGTAAAATTTCAAATGTCCACTTTGCAGGTATCCACTTCTATGAATTTTGACAAACATATACAGTCATGAAACTACTTTCTCTCCGTCCTGATATTTTTTGCCTTTTCCAGCATGATATACAAATGAAACCATAATAAATATGTAGAACTTTTGAGTCCGGTTCACTTCATTTAGCATAATGTAGTTGAAAGTCATTATGTTGTGCGTATATAGTAGTGTGCGCCTTTTTATTATTGTGTATGTATACACCACAGTTTGTTTATATACCCAATGATGGACATTTGAGTTGTTTCCAGGTTTGGGCAATTACAAATAAAATCATTATAAACATTCATGTCTAGTTTTTGTACAGGCATAAGTTCTCATTTCTCTTGAGTAAGTAGTACAGGGTGGGGTGACTAGTTAATATGGTAAGTGTATGTTTAACTTCGTAAGAAACTGCCGAGTGTTTTCCAAAGTTGCTGTACTATCTGCATTCCTACCAGCAATGTCTGAGTTCTACTTGCTTGCAATCTTGCCCAACATTTAACACTGTAAGGTTTTGTTTTTGTTTTGTTTTGTTTCTGGCTTTTTTTTTTAATTAGAGCCTCTAATAGGTGTATTTGTAGTGATAGGTCATTGTAGGTTTAATCTAATAACATTGCACATTTTTTTCTCTATCATGTAAATCTTAAGATATCCTCACAATAAAAAGTAAAGAATTATTAACCCTGGCCAGATAACTTGGATGGTTAGAGCATCATCCTGATATGCCAGGGTTGCAGGTTCAAGTCCCAGTCAGGGCATATACAAGAAGCAGCCAATGATGAATAAATAAGTGGAAAAAGATGATCCATCCATCCATCCTCCCTCCCTCCCTCCCTTCCTCCCTTCCTCCCTCCCTCTTTCTCTCTCTCTCTGTCTCCATTCATCTGTCTCTCAGACCAATAAATTCTAAAAAATGTAAATAATTACTTTCCTATGGACTGAATAAGCAGGGATAGAAAGACTATGGTAAAACAGGGCACAAAATTTTTTAAACTTATATTCATAAAGCTGTTAAGGGGATCTATCCAATAACATAGATGGAAATATTTAAAAATATGTAAAGTACTACTTTTTTAAAAATCCAAGGAGGTATGATTGCTACTAAGCATTCAAAAGTTGTACAGATACAAACACTGCCCCAGGGCCTGCAGCTCTCTGGGAAGAGAGAGAACAAAACCTCTGAGCCGGACTCGCCCTGCCAACAATTCTGGAGCTGTCCTGGGTTAAGCTAGTTTTTAGTGTTAGAGACAAAGCTCAGTTTTCAAGCACCAATGTCACTTTTCTTTCCACAGTCAATATAACCATGAGGTCAACATTCCAATAATGGCGAGGGATAAATTTATTATTTTAGAATGAGAAACCGGCCAACTTCTGATCTGATTCTTCCTTCTTCAACTGATATCTCATCCCTAAACAATTCTCCAGGCTTCCGAAAACAAAAAGAAAAGCCTTTTCCGTTTGTCTTTCAAGAAGCGCTAAGTGATAAATGAGCTGAATTTTACTAAATAAGAATCCCTAGGACTTCCGCCAAGATGGAGGCGTAGGTGGAAGCACTGTGCCTCCTCCCACACCAAGTTTAAAAACAACAAAGTTTTAGCAACAAAAATGCAGCCAAAACCACAGAAAATTGAACTTCACGGAAGTCTCACAACAACACATCCTTCAGCCAAACTGGTAAGAGGGGCAGAGCCAGCAGCAGAGCGGGGTCGGGCAGGAAAGATCCACGGGACAGACCCGGGCGCACGACCCAGGCGCACCAGCAGCCATGCCCGGATCCCAGGTGTAGAGAAGCAGGCAGACCCACTGAGGGCACAAGGCGGTGGACTGACTGAAGGCTGACCACAGTCACACATTTGCGCGCAGATAAACCAGTGAAGGAGGGAGTGGTGAGACAAACCATGCAGGCCCCAGTAGTAGGAAGCGGCAGAGGGGACCACCATTGTCCCTCTCTGACCCTGCCCCCACCTACAGCGTGACAAACCAACAACCTGGGTGGCCCCACCCTGGTGAACAACCAAGGCTCTGCTCCTCATACCTAACAGGCACAAACAGATCAAAACATGGCTCAAGAACAACTCAGAGCCCCAGAGCCAATAAATCTAAGTGATCAAGAAATTGCCAAACTTTCAGATGCACAGTTCAAAACACTAGTGATCAGGATGCTCACAGAACTGATTGATTTTAGTCACAAATTAGAGGATCATATGAAGGCTAAACTCATTGAAATGAATGGAAATGCTCAGGAAACCAATAGTAATGGAAAGGAAACTGAGACTCAAATCAAAGGAGTGGACCAGAAAGAGGAAAAAAATGACCAAACAGAAAAGAATGTAGAAACAAGAATTCAAAAAAAATGAGGAGAGGCTTAGGAACCTCCAGGACATCTTTAAACATTCCAGCATCAGAATTATAGGGGTGCCAGAAGGGGAAGAGGAACAGCCACGAGTGGAAACCTTATTTGAACAAATAATAAAGGAGAATTTCCCCAATCTGGCAAAGGAAATAGAATTCCAGGAAATCCAGGAAGCTCAGAGAGTCCCAAAGAAGTTGGACCCTAGAAGGAACACACCAAGGCACATCATCATTACATTAGCCAAGATTAAAATGAAGGAGAGAATCCTACAAGCAGCAAGAGCTAAGGGGACAGTCACCTACAAAGGAGTTCCCATCAGACTGTCAGCTGATTTCCCAAAAGAGACCTTACAGGCAAGAAGGGGCTGGAAAGAGGTATTCCAAGTCATGAAATTCAAAGACCTACATCCAAGATTGCTCTACCCAGCAAAGCTTTCATTTAGGATGGAAGGGCAGATAAAGTGCTTCTCAGATAAGATCAAATTCAAGGAGTTCATCATCACCAAGCCCTTATTATATGAAATGTTAAAGGGACTTACCTAAGAAAAAGAAGATAAAAAAGATGAACAGTGAAAGGACAGCAAACTCACAGATTAACAACCACACCTAAAACAAAAGCAAACTAAGAGGATAGCGAGATCAGGAGCAGAACCATAGAAATGCAGATCACGTGGAGGGTTAGCAACAGGGGAGTGGGAGGAGAAGGGGGGAGAAGGTACAGAAAATAAGTAGCATAGATGGTAGGTAGAAAATAGGGGGGATGGCAAGAATAGTAGGGGAGATATAGAATCTAAAGAACTTGAAACACGTGGCATAAACTAAAGGGGGGGAATGGTGGAGGAGGGATGTGCAGGGTGGAGGGAAATGAAGGGGGGGAATAGAACAACCGTAATGGCATAATCAATAAAATATATTTTAAAAAAAAGAATCCCTAATGTAGAAGTTTCTCAAAAAAAAAAAAGCAAAACCACCTGTCCAAGATTCCTTGGACTATCTGGATAAACAGAATGGCAATGATTAATTGCAAACCACCCAGGGTGGTTCCAGATCAAACGAAATCCTGTAGGACCATACTGGATACCTAAATATAATCCAAAATGATAAATCAATAGGTAAAAACACCAATGACTTGGAGTGCCATTCTAGACACTATTTTATACCTAAACAGAAAGCTTACCTTTCTTTCTTTTAAAAGCTTCTTATAGCCATTTGATCCAAGTGATAATAAAGTAATAAGAACATCTAAAGAAGGTGAAGCTGAGGCTCTTCCTGAAATAAGAACAAATTGTAATCAGGAGGGTAAAAAGCTTTGGAAATTAAGATTTATTATAGTAGTCTATGTACAAATATTTTTGTTTGTTAGTTATTTTTTCTGAAGAGCAGCTAATTTATTTACCTGGATACATCTTGCTGATTTCCTGAATGAAAGAATCATTAAAGCCAGCAATTATAGCGCCACCTACTGGAACCATAAAATTTTTGTCCAAGCTCTGAACAAAAGCGTCTATTCTACCAACCCGGGCTGCCTAGAATAAAATGTTACATATTAGTTTCTAGAAGAAGAGACAACAATGACTATTAACAAATAAACACTAGTAAAATAATGCATGAAAATAAAAAGATATAGTATTTTTATTCTTTGCAACAGTGCCAGTAAAATATTTTTAAATACTAAACTGAGTACTTCTAAACATTAAACATATAGTCTGTACATGTGGAAGAGCACTTTATAGTTTACAACCTGCTTTTACACAAAAACCACTTAATCCTCACAACAACGCTGTGAGAAAGACAGGGTTTCAGTATCAATTCGGGAGAAAACTATATTGAACCAGAGCCTTTCACCTTAAAATTGGGTAGGAGAGAGTGGATTCCTCCTGTGCCGATCACCTGTGATCTTCTCTTTGACAATAAATGTCAACAGTGGGCCCTAAAGCTATTAAGCAATTTCAAACACTCTCTGTGAGGTTAAGAGTGGCCACCATAATCTAATGGGCTGCAGCCACCCATGCTGCCAATCAATTAGTTACACATGTAAGTGCCTCTCTCTGATTCCTGGATAACCTACCACCTGCGCGACCACTTAAAGCAGCGAGTGTGCTCCTACCACTACTCAGATAACAAAAGAGAAAAAGAAAATTTTTAACATCGATTAATGGAAATTCTTATTAACTCTCGGCACTGTTTCTACATCTAACTCATGTTTCCTATTGTTATCATCTTAGGTGATCTCATTCTACTGCAAATGAACTTCAAGTGAAAATCTAATATTCTGATGAAAAATTGAACACTTACTTAACAGAAATATACAACCAAATTCTAGTTCCAATCTGACATAGTCTATGACCTTCTGTCTAATGTGCTTCAATTTTCTCCTCTTAAAAACAGAGATACTATCTAAATTTCAACTAAGAGAATTTTTTTCTTTATCTGTGGTGACAGATTTTCAATCGGAATTCAGAATCTACATTCCTATTAATACCATAACCGCATTTGACCTTCAGCGTCACACTTTCTCTCTGCATCCGAATCTCAGGAAAAATAGGAGCAGCAGATAGCTGGCCTAATCGAAGAGACCAGATCCAGGCAACAGGTAGAAGCAGCAAAGCCGGAGGCTATCACAGGATTGTTTAAATCTCAACCTTCCTGTTACTTTTCTAATTTCCTCATAAACTGTGATCAGAGAAAAATCTCACCATATCACAGGAAAACAGAAGCATGTAAGACTGATGAAGGAAATAATTGAAAAACATGCAAAGTAGTAGCATATAAAAATAAAGCCAACAGTTACAGTTGCCCTCTGCTGACATTTAAGTGCTGTCCAAGGCTTCCTGAGAGAAACCTGAACCCAAATTGGGAGTGCGATTACTAAGAGAACAACCAGAGCCCCAGGCTTTGTTAAACTCCTTCATCACCACAACACAGAAAGTGCTGGAAGGGGAGCACATCCTGTGGCAAGAAAACAGAGGCTGGACCCACCTCACGAAGGATTTATGTTGTATATGGACCGCACTGTCTACACCAAAGTCAGAGGCTATTAGAGAGCAGGAAAAAACCTTGAAGGCTGGAAGCATTTAAATAGGAACACAGAAGCATGTTCTAGGAAGTAAAGAACTGCAATTTATCAGTTCATCCATTTCCTCATTTATCCATAGACTATGTGGATACTTATCAGTCATCAAACATTGTTCTAGAATCTGGAGACAGCAGCAGGGAATACTACAGATGACCCTTGAACAACATGGGGATTAAAAGTACTGGGCCCCTGCAGAGTCAAAAATCCATGTATAACTTAAGTTGGTCCTCCCAACCCCGTGACTCCAGGAGAGGATCCTGGATCACTCCATCTACTCTGACACCTGTGCATACAGAATGTCCTATATGCTCTGCATTAAGTCATTCTGGGGCACTGCCCTTAAAAAAAAAAAGAAATCCTGACACATTTTAGTTCTCCACAGACTGCCTCATTATTACAATATAAGCTTCCCAAGAAAGTATTTGCAGTGTTAGTACTTTGTCTTTTAAAGCAAAATATGGGGCTTCGGAGTCACAATGAATTACATGGGCTACTTTGTAGCTTCAAGCCTTGGGCAAGTCACTCAAGCCTCCTGGGCGTGTTTCTTCATCTGTAGAATGGAAACAATAAATATACCTCACTTGTTAGGGTTAAGTTAATAAACTCTGAAAGTCTAGCAAGATGCCTGACAAGTGACGGTTACCCAGTACATGGCATATATCACTAGTATGAACTATTGGGAAGAAGTAAAGCTAACTTTTAGAGTGTCCGAAACAGTAATCAGCACTCAATAAAATCCAAGTACTTATTTGATTTAAAGCAATTGACTCACCACCTCTATTTGTAAGGGGCAATTTGAGAAAATGGAATGTTTGTGTACTACTTTTTCAAATTTCTGAATAAATGACCATTATAGAAGGTAATATAGTATCTTCAACAACAGAACAGCTACATTTAAAAATTCATTCACTGATCTTACCACATTATTTTCTGGTTAAAGTTTTAGTCAAACCACCTCATGAATTAAGAGAGATCATGACAGAGTAGGGTATTCCTGATTCACAACTGTAAGGGCGCCTTTCATATCCTACCCTGGAACTCATTTCTTTTAGTCTTAATTTCAAGTATGCCACCTGATTTCTAGTACTCAAAAATATATGTGAGCACCAAACCATGGAGCACTCCCAGATTAAGTAAGCAATATTTAACATTAAGGAACCACTAAAATTATCATTTTAAAAGTTCATAGGCATGTGTAGAGTATAAAACTATAAGTTTACATTTAAATTTAAAAATTAAATGTATTTTTCACTGTTTTGAAAAGTTCATTCTAAATGTATACAATGACAATATATAAAAAGCAATAAATGTATATAAAAATTAAAAAGTAGATACATAAATTACTATGCGTGTTAGGTTCATAGGGTTATGAATGAGTTTCTACTCCTTCTTCCTTTTTCTTACTTTTCGTAATGCTGATGTATTTGACTTTCAAAATTGAGGGTGCTAAAAATTTAGGAAGAGGAGAAGGGAAGAGAAGGGGAAAAGGGGAGGGGAAATAAAAATAAATCACTGATTTAAAGTTATTTTTTATAATTCCAGCACAGAGAATTATACAGCCTTCCTCTGCTACCAATCGAACTAGATGTAATCTAGTTCAGAATTGTGAGGAAATCTTACAAAGTTAAGGAATAACAGAAAAGGACATCAAGGAAATGGTAGTTTTCTTCCAGAAATCTTAAGTAATGCTGACGTACCATGTCTACAGTGTACTCCAACCCTGGACTGGTTACATTATATAAACAAATCTATCTCCTTACTGGTTAAGCTAATTTGAGTTGGAATTTCTGTTACTTGCTGTCAAGTACATCCTAATAGGTACAACTTTTGAGTAAAGAAATTAGTAAATCAGCTATTACTATCATATAAGCCACATTTATGTCAGAGATGATACTACCATACACAAATGATAGAAAAATTTACTAGGAAAGATTTCCTGGGCTGATAAGCATTCACCACCATGTTGGAGAAGACCACAGATAATCTGTGAATAACCTGTGTCTACATGACATAAATCACATGTATTTCAGAACTGAGTATGTGACTAACATCATCACACACACAAATTACATAACTTGTCATTCAGGGATAATACCTATCCACTTCCTAATATAGTATGAACAATTAACTATTGTAAATAACTATAATACTTCATGTAGTCATTCCCTTTTTTCAGTAACCACTTAGTGAGTGTCAATTATGTACCAGTTACTGTGTCCTAAGTAATGAGAACATAACAGTGAACAAAACAAAGTCCTTGTCCTAACATAAACTTAATTCTAATTACTATCAGTAACTAGACAATAAATAAATAACCTATTAAATGGAAATAAGCGCTATGAGAAAAAGAGCAAAAGACCATCAATTTTAAGAAGCAACATTATTTTACATAGCAGTAGGTAAAAAAAACTGCCAATTAACATTTGTAAGACACCAATAATTGTAAAACATCCCAATTTCAGAAATGTTAAAGTGAAAAACGTGCATCTTAAAATTGATGAAAATGGTAAAACAGGAAAAGAGGAATAGAAATGGTGGCAAGGGAGCGGAGGTGTTATTTTAGATCAGAGAATCTGAGAAGGTCTCACTGACCGAAAGAGCAGGAAGCCATGCACCCCCCCTAGAAGAGCAAAGGACTCTTCTGTTGCTCTGGGAGGTGCATGGGAGGGATGGGAGAGAGCAGAAGACTGGCGGTGTGCGCACTTGTGGCTCCATGGAGGAACAGAAGGCAGGCACTGCAGCCAGAGAGACTAGGTAAGAGGAGAACAGTAGGAAATGAACTCAGAGAAGCTGCAGAGGCCTGAATACACAAAGCCTAGCAGGCCGTGGCTGTCACTCTCATTCTAAGAGGGATGGGAAACCCAAGCATATTTTCAAAACAAGAACCTAAAACAGATGACCAGGATCTAGTGGATACTTATAAGAGTAAGTCATAAAATTTTTAAAAACTTGCCTACTCCAGTTATATGCTAGAATGTTTTTATAAATGAAGTCATTTCCAGTCTAGGATAAGATAAAGTGGTGTCCTTAAATATTAAATGCAGAACAAATCATTGATATAATTTGTACTATAATCCAGTATTTAGAAAAATGAGAATCCCAGTAATGAAACATTCTCAGAAAGTTAAAGACCAAGCCCCTTAAATATTTCTATGTTGGTTCTGACCAAAGCTATTAGTCCAATTACCACCATCCTACCAAAAAATGATTTCTAGTGCCCTGGCCCCGTGGTTCAGCTGGTTGGAGCTTCATCCCATGCAGCAAAGGCTGTGGGTTCAATTCCTGTCAGGGCACATATGTAGGTTGCAGGTTTGATCCCCGTTGGGGTGTCTATGGGAGGCAACTGATTAATGTTTCTCATATTGATGTCAATGTCTCTCTCCCCCCTCCTTTCCAAAATCAGTTTTTAAAAAAAGACTTTTATTGCGTGAATATTGGATGCAAATAACTGTTTTTACTATATTAACTTGCAACAAAAACAAAGTAATAATTCTACATGTTAAAATTTTTTCTTGACATATTTTTTAAACTCTCTTACCTGCTGAATGAGGTGCATACACTTTGAAGACTGCAGTCCATAAGCATTGTTGACTACATGTGGAATGCCATAATTAGCACAAATCACAGCCAGTTCTTCTAACCTGTAAGCAAAAATATTCAATAGAAAGACACACTCTTACTGCGCTTTCATAAGTTACAGTGTGAAAACTAATTTAATATTTAACGTTAATGCATACTAGGAGAAATTAAATTTCTACAGCAATATTTTAGCACATAATTTGGCAGTTTGGCAAGGCACAGCAGGTACTTTAGGATAAACTTTTAAAAAGCTCTTAAATTTAAAATGTTACCAATAAATGAGAATATATGTATTTATAAAAATCTGTATAGATGGTTCAAACTACTTTAAAATTTCCTATACAAATTGCAAGAAGCAGATTATTTATAATGATCCCTTATAATGTGGTACATTCATGTTTAAGTATTTTTGACTGCTTATCATACTAAAAATATTATCTGCAAAGTAGTAAGCATATCCTGAAATCTTTAAAAAAATTTCACATTGCTTGTCATACTAAAAATATTATCTGCAAATAAGCATATCTAAAAATCTTTTTAAAATCTCACATTAAACATCTTATAATGTAAAAATATACATTTTCAAATAGACTTCAGTGTATTAAAAAATACAGGACATTAAATGTTTCAGTACCAAATAACATTCTCCAACAACTTGGATACTAGAAAATCTGGTTTTAAATTCACTCTTACTTTCTCACTTGACACTCCTTATACTAAGACAATCTGACGCAGGGATGTAAGTACCGCATAGGGAATACAGACAATAATATTGTAATAACTAAGTATGGTGCCAGATGGGTACTGGAAATATCAAGGGGAACATTTTGTAAAGTATATAGTTGTCTAACCACCATACTGTACACCTGAAACTAATACAAAATAATAGTGAGTGCAAACTGTAATTGAAAAATAAAATAGAGAAACATAAAAAAAGACAATTTGAGAATCTAACTTTATGCAAAGGTAATTAAACTTCAATTAGAGTATAATAAATGATATCCTTTTGCAAAATCAAATACTTGTGACAGAGATTATCTTTAACAAGAATGCCTTCACACTATAAAGCAAAGACTAAATCCTATGGTTTAATAAAATTAATTTTTATTCTTTCTACAACACAAAGAATTTGGAAGCAAGATATTTTTATACAATAAAAGTTCCTTTCCACAGAATGTATTTCAAATATATAGTATACAGATTTATATCTATTTATGTATTATTTATTCTTCTTATAGATGTGCATTAATGTTTTTAAACCACAAATAGAAATTACTTTATTCTGTTAATCTGTCAGAAGTTTTCAACTTACTCCCTTAGAGTTTTATGAATTAAAAACTCATTTCATCATTCATTTTCATAAATCTCAGAAATCAGACACCTCACTTAAACTAATCAATGTTGTTGTTAATGAAATAGACCTTCTGAGAGACACACAGTATTTTCTTCATAAAAGCACTTTCAGATGTTTGTCTTCTAACAAAAGCATTCCTTAACAAAAAACTTCCTTGAGAGTAAGGCACTATAATAACAAAAGCACTGTGCTTTTAAAAAAATCACCTGGGAGTGGTTTTAAATATTCTGAGTTGATCAAATATACTAATATTCAGAGTGTATACACAGATATTTAGTGAAAGGCAAAGGGATACTGAAAATATACCTTCCGTGTGAATCAAATTATGTCCTAATTTAAGGTGTTTATCAATTAAAGACACGATACCCTTCCTTTTTTTTAACATTTCCTTTGGCTGATTTTGCCCCACAATGTTCTCTGTCCAATTAATGCACTAATAAAGGCAATAACTATCCATTCAATTAAGAGTACAAAAGAATTAAGCTTAATGTGAAGTCAAAATGTATTTTTAAATTTTATAAATCAGAAATTCAAACATACTACTAACAACAGTGCATCAATCATTTTCTAAGGTCCCCTCTTACAAGAAACACTCATCAGGTAACACCACTAAAAAGTGGTGTATGAGAATTTTACTGATAAAAACTTCATGATACATGTAAAATACTTAATACTGTAGCAAGCATAAATAAACATCCAAAAAGATTTACTCAAGACGAAACAAAATCAATACTACCCTCAAGGACAAATAAACTAACACAAACATCCATATGCTGTTTTTGGAAATGTGTTTTATTTCTATCACATTAAAATTTTTCTAGATAGCAACACCATCAATGAAGAATAAAGATGTTTAATATTAATATTTCTATATAAATTTAAAATACCTATGACTGGTAAGTAATAAAGCATATACAATATAGGGTGGTGCAAAAGTTGGTTTGCAGTTTGTGAAACATAAGAGTTTGTTCTTATATTATTATTTATTAATCATTGCATTATTTTCAAGATATTCTTAAAGCAAATTCAAATTCATGATTGAAGCAAGGTGAATTTTTAAGAGCATGGTTTTAAAATTATCTCTGAAAGTCTGCCTTTTAATAAAAGATAGTAAAATACACATTCATTACTGCCATATTATATCATTCCATGGATGCTACAAAAAAGTACAAAGTCAATATGGTTCTAGCAAATTACTAGGACTTTATTCAAAATGTTAAAAGGAAACTAAAACTTTGTCAAAACTTGAAATCTGGCTCTGGTTGGTATGATTCAGTGGACTGAGTGCCAGCCTGCGCACTGAAAGGTTGCTGGTTCGATCCCCTGTCAGGGCAAGTGCCTGGGTTCTGGGCCAGGTCCCTAGTTGGGGGTGTGTGAGAGGTAGCCAGTCAATGTTTCTCTCATACATCACATCTCTGTTTCTCTCCCTCTCATTCTCTCTCCCTTCTCCTTTCTCTAAAAATAAATAAATAAAATCTTTAAAAAAAGAACTCTGGAAATCTGTATTCCTATACCTAAGTCTATTACACTTTCAGAATAAAAATTTGGGGGCATCCTTTAGAAAAGTAAACATTTACTTTTTTTGTCATTTTGCTTTTATTTTCTTAAACATTGCATTTTTCTCAGAATGCAAAGACAACTACTGTGTACACCTAAGTGTACATCTAAATTAATCTTCCAATTAAAAAATAACCTAAGGGCAGTAAATAATTCTAAAATTTTCTGTTTAAAATCTGCACTACTGATAGTTCCTACATATGAAAACTAACTGTAAGAGCAAAGAAGTGGAGATAGCAATGAACGCAAGTAAAAACCCAGTATTTAGCTTAGAAACTTCTATTAAATAATGAGGGAAAAGATGCTAGATTAGAAACCAAAAAAGAGCAAGAAAACAGCTGCTCTGCATCTACTCAGGTGATAAGGGGTCTGCACACTTGGTACTCGTTGTTTCTCCTTCTTATATATCCAATTCTAATTTTCTCAAGAAATAATGCTGTTTCTCCACAAAGTCAATCTATTCCCTTAGAACAGTCCATTCATGTATTTACTGCCCAGTGTTACTTCACATCTTTGAGAATTAGTACGTGTGCATTTTATTTGAAAGACTGATGACACCTAAAGGACAACATTCACACATCACTTACCTGTCAGGCACTCGGGGAGCAAAACAGGATGTAGTGGAATGAACGCACAGCACATTATCCGGCCCAAGTTCCTCGACTTTAGCTTCCACCGCATTCAGGTCCGTGCGCAGCTCGTCGCCTTCTAAAACATTTTCTATCACCACAGGCTCAAAACCTGACCAAGCCAAGCAGAAATCAAAACATTAGCGTAAACTGGAACAAGAGGAGACCCCAGCACTCCAGAACACAGTGCCGTCCTACACAAGAACTCTACATAGTCATGTGGTCGCTGGACCCTCCTCCAGCCACAAAGACCCTCAGTACTGGGATGAGTCCAGGGCAGGCCGAAATACCGTGAGGGACAACCAGGCCACAGCTAGGACCACAGATCTATTTAGCACTTTGATATGACAAGATTAATTCTGGGAATTAAGGAAAACGAATGTTAAGTAGATACCTACAAAAGCAGTAACGTCATGGATGACGGAAAGGACCATGTAGTCCAGTTCAGTTTCAGTCCACAGGAAGTAAATCTACACATTCTCTTATGCTTAAGTTTATTTTAAAGTTCACTTTATTCAGAGATAAACAAAAATAATAACTCAAGTATTGAAAACAAACCACAATTGCCAACTTAGTGTTTTAACTCTCAAGAAAAGGGTAATGAATTTTAGTAGCCTAGGGATTACTGACTCATCTCATAGCTTACAAGTCCTTCTGTAACCTAAATAGAAACATTACTTCTCAATTTTTAATTGAACTAGTATATTTAATTATCATGTGATCAAATGTCCACCCAAATAATAACTATGTAAACTTGTAAGTGAATATTTAGGTGTCCATAAGCTTAAAAAGTTGTATAATGTACAAAGGACTTATATAACTAAGTACTCTGTGATACTAGTAAGTACTTAGGGTAAAAGTAAACCCTAGTGTTTAAGACTCAGAAACTGGATAGGAAATAAACCTGGGAAATTTTGCACATAAAGTTATGTAGTCACATCTTCAGTCCTCCCAAAGACCAAATCTAACAGCCAAGCTACATTCGTGGATTTAAAAACCTAAAGGGATTTAGAAGCCATTTAGCTCAACTCATTCATTTCAAAGATAAGGGAGCCAAAGTTCAGGAAGATTAAGTGGCTTCCCCGAGTTCACACTGCAAGTTGTAACAAAGTTAGGAGCAAGTAGTTTTCTTCGGTGTTTTGGAATCCACATCCAGTTGTCCGCATTTTATCTACAGACATATAAAACCTTTGCCACTATAAAGTCATCACTTCAAATATGTAATGCAGAGATGTGCAGGTTAATTCATACCTTCAAAGCTATTAAAACAAACACAAAAAACTTGACTTAAATAAGCAGCTTGCTGAGGACGGCTAATTTTCTATTTCTCAGATTCTCTAGACCCAACACTATTTTGGCTTTCAAACAATTAAAATACAAGCTTTTTTGAAGAATACAATTATGCTGCTTCCTAAGAATAGAGGTTATCCTGGAAAAGAATAAACTGTACATTGCAGTCCAAACCATAACATCTTTTGGAAAAAAGTTTTCAGTTTTTCAGTAATGCAATCTTTTCCCTAAATTTGGTTATCAATCATTTGGTTAACAGGATGTAAATTAACAGACTTGACTACATTATACCACTTAAAATAAATCAGCGTATTTTTAAAAGTTGATCAGTTTCTGCTATAAGTCCTTCTTATAAATCTCTTACATGAGTTTCTTTAGGATTACTTACACATATGCAGTTTAATTATGGCCCAATACTATTCACTTCATAGAACAGACTGAAGCCATTCAAAAATGACCTTAAATATTCAAATTTGACTTAAGAAAGCTAAATACTAAAATACCAATGTAAAGTTTTGTCTCACCTGAACTGAATGATATCTCTTCTCCTTGCACTTTGACTCATGATGATAATTTACGTGTACTCCACTCATGTATATTCAACCAACATTTCTAAGCACCCTTCATGCTCCAGGAATTACTGTCCGGTACTTTATATGTCATCCCACTTAATCCTCAAAACAATCTACTGAAGTGGCTATTCATAACCCCATTTTAAATAATGGGAACATATGATCGAGAAATTCCACTTTTGAGTTATGTATTTTGAATTCCACTTTTCAGAAGAATTCAAAGCAGGGACTTAGGCAGGTACTGGTGCACCCATGCTCACAGCAACATTATTCACAATACCCGAAAGGTAGAAGCAACCCAAGTGTCTATCAATGAATTTATGAATGAATTCACTAACAAAATGTGGGATACACACAGAGTGGAATATCAGTCAGGCCTTAAAAAGGAAAGAAATTCTGCCACACACTACACCATGGATTAAATCTTAAAGACATAAGTAAAATAAGTCCGTCACAACAGACAAACACTCTACTTTTGTGAAGAGCCTACAACAGTCAAATTCAGAGACTGAAAGCAGGATGATGATAGCTAGGGACTGGGAGTGGCGAGGACAGTGCAGTGACGGTTCAGTGGGCAGAACTTCAGTTTCAGAGGATGAAAAGTTCTGGAGGTGAATGGTGGTGATAGCTGCACAAGAAGGTGAGTGTCACAGAACTATACACTTAAACATGGTAAATTTTATGTGTATGTTACACAATAAAAAGAAGAATAGGAACAGGTTTAATTTCTTTCCATTTATCTTCCTTTACATTAAAAGTCCGAAATGTCTAACTGTGATATTGAAGACAGTACATACAACACTTCTCTTCTTTTACCTGCAGTGATCATGGACTTAAAGCAGGACTTCTGGTCTATTCGTGGCCAAATAATATACTTTGCCTTTGGTCTTCTGTGTCGTAATGTTAAGAAACACAGAGTTAGACTCATACCAGTTGCCATAGGCACTACAAAGCAACTGGTCACTGTATGGACACCTAGGAATAAGAAGTAAAACAGAAATTAGTTATTCCATTAAAAAAAAAGCATCTTCTTGAAGAAATTATATACTTCTAGCAAATAACAAGTTGTAGATTTAGTGTTTCTTCCTCTGTACACACTCTCAGGAAGCTCACAGCCAAATTCATCCTCCGTGCTTATGGCTGAGTTTCTATCTTATTCTAAATGTTTTTATATATATGTATGTCTTTTCAAAAGCCATTTATATCCTTTTTGTAAGATGCATTAATAAAGGAAACTTGGCAAAGGCATGAGGGGCTGGTCAGCCAAAAGTATTATGATTAACACAGCACTTACCAGCTATTTTTATGATGTCCAGGACCAAAGAATTGGTAATTTTGTTCAAAAGGCTAGAACCCGCAGCTTTTGGTTGCACAGCAGAAATGTCACCTGATCGTCCAATTCCATGAATGAACCTAAGCAAAAAATGAGCCAGCAACTAGACAAAAAAATTCAGTGTTCTAAGTAATCCACTGTATAAATATACAAATACAATAGCTAAAAAAAATACCAGGTGCAATAGTTAACTATTACAGATATATTTCATCAGCTATTATTATTATAAAATATCCTATTATTTTTAGGATATTTTTATAATATCCTAGAGAGAATCTAGCAGAAGGAATGGTCTGATACTTCTGAGTTAGATCATAAGAAGCCTTGAAGCTGCTACCAAGCCTCTTAAAGGGCTTGCTCTTTAGGGGCTCCCTCTTACAATCCACATGCCTTGCTGGGAGAAGCCAAAGCCACGTGGAGAGGCCACCAAGCTCCCAGCAATCGAAGTGCAGCAATTAGATAAATTGTCCAGCTGAACCTTCAGGTGACTACATTCTCCACCAACATCTGCTTGCAACTACATGAGAAACCCAAAGCAATAATAACCCTGCTGTGCTCAGTTTACCCACAGAACTATGAGATAATAAATGACTGTTTTAAGCCACTAAATTTTTAAGTGGTTTGCTGTGCAATAGTAGAAAAACAAAACATATGCTACATTAAATTCTCTTCTTTTCTTTTCCTTTCCCCTAACCAGAGAAGGGGGCTAAGTTCCAGTGGGGATGAGTTGATATTTCAAGTGTTGCCTTAATCCATTTTTTAAAAATCTGTGTGCATTGCCCTGGCTGGTGTAGCTCAGTGGATTGAGCTCAGGCCTGTGAAGCAAAGGGTCGCCGGTTTGATTCCCAGTCTGGGCACATGCCTGGGTTGCAGGCCAGGTCTCCAGTAGGAGATACATGAGAGGCAACCACACATTGATGTTTCTCTCCCACTTTCTCCTTCCCTTCTCCTCTCTTTAAAAATAAATAAATAAAATATATTTTTTAAAAATCTGTGTGCAAATCCACTCATTTTAAATTCGATGTTACACACTATTTAAAAATACCTCTAAATAGTCTTCAAAATCAAAATCTATTTGTAATTTACAGTAAAATAGATCAGAAATTCTACACACTGGAATTATCACAGAACATTAGTTTTACACTTCATTACCACTGAAACCTTATGTACAAAGAATTTCTTACAGTTGACCATTATCAGTCCATTTTTAACATGAATTTTTCACCCAAGATGTACATTCATTACCATTGGTTTTAACTACAATGGAATTTTTAACTGACACATATAACATCGTATTAGTTTCAGATATACAAAATAATGATTCCATACTTGTATATATTATAAAACAATCTCCACAAGTTAGTTTACATCCATCACCATACAAAGTAACAGATTTTTCTTTCTTGTGATGAGAACTTTCAAGGTGTATCTCTCAGCAACTTTCAAATATACTATAGAGTATTATTAACTACAGACACTTTGCTGTACCTTACATCCCACCACATACGTATTTTATAATTTGAAGTTTGTACCTTTTGATCGAACTAGAAGTTTGGTGGTTTGACTGAAATAAAATTGTATTACAGGATGGAAAATCTCACCATGATTTGAAATCATGGAAGACAGGAGTTTTTAAGAGTACACCTGTATTTCACAGAAAGGTTGGAGAATAGAGAAATGATTATATTTGGAATCGCTGTCAATTAAATGTTATTAGAACTGAAGAAATGCTTTTTATAAAAATATGAGTGACTTATTAAGCTAAAATTAAATTTAATATACCTTTTCCTACATCTATTGCAACAAAAAGCAAAGTGCCTATAAAATGGGAATCGGTTTAGATGCACATGAACAACACTTAAAGTCCCACCTATTAAGTCATTCTAAAAAAAGAAAAATTAAAAAAAAACAACTTGTGACTGCAGGAAAGAAACACAGAAGAAATCTGAACATGTTTTAAACTTTTACAAACACTAGGTTTACTGGGTTAACTGTTCTTAACGAAAATGTATAGCCAGCATGGTTAACCACCCAGAACCTGTCAAAAACTTTTACCCTACAATCTTGAAAAGCAACTACTCAGATGAAATTGTTGCATCGAGTTTACATGTCCATTTCCGTAAGGCAGTAGTAGGTTCCAGACAGACATTTTATAATCTAATATGATAAATACCGCAACCAGTGTTTTTAGGAGAAAAAAGAAGTGTTTTCACATGCTAGTTGAAAAAAATACCTGTAATGACGCCGAGCAACTAATGCCGACGCCACTCTCCCTTCCCTTTCTCCCACTCCGCAATTGCCCAGGAAATTGTTGCTATCCATGATTGCGAGTTCATGCAGGAAGAGTTCGAGTGTGCTTTCATCCCAACCGTCCTCTGGACATTTGCCCTTAAAACAAACAAATTACATAGAATTATAATTTAATCCTATTTTAGATGGTTTTGTCGTTCCCCAGAACCCACTTCAATTAATTTTAAAACTTTTTAATGTTATTTTGCCCTGCTCCTTGCTGTCTAAAATTCAGACAGAAATTGAGTATTATGAAGAAACCTCCAACAGGCAAAACTCTGTATGTTACACTGTATTATTACAATCACCTACAGACTGCGAGAGAATAAATGAACATGATGATTCACACTCGGGTTTAAAGCTGCAGGAAGTTAAGGTTACGGAAAACCTTATCTTCAGCACAGATTCTTCAAACCAGAGTGTTAAAACTAGAGGTTGTCAAACTTCAGTGAAATTAAAATTCGGAAATGCTGGCAGCAGGGAGACCCCGGATGTTCCGAGGCAGCACTGGGTTCGAGCGGGTACACCGAGGTTTACAAGCACGTGTTCCCCGTGTTCCCCGAGTTCTCGGTCGGAGGTGCGAACTTTGCCCTTTCCGTAAACAAGTAAACCAAGTGGGACTCCCACGCACTTCCGCGTCTCGAAGTTACACAAACGAGACTCAAAAGGTCGACCCTCACACACTCCCTAATAACTCTCTCTGGGTCCTGCCGGCTTTGGAGAGGTTGAGGAGCTGAGCGCAGCAAGTCCGCACACTGCACGACAAGCTCCGACAGCCTCCGGGGACCGCTCTCAACCTGCAAGCCGGAGCGAGGGACACAGGACTCAGCGGTCACAGGGAGCGGGGCGGAGCCGGGGGGCTCGGCGGCTGCGGAGGGACCCGACAGTCCGGTACCTTCTCCAGAAGCAGCCGTATGAGGTGCTCGTGCGAGCGGCGGGCCTCACAGCCCTGCCGCACGTACGCCGGCGACACTAGCCTCTCCCCGGCCGCGAAACTCTCCCGGTTCATCGTGCCGGTAGCAACTGTCGCGGGACAACGAGCAGTCGACACGAAACGGACACACGACAAAACCCGGAGTCAATGCGCCGCCTGGACGGTACGGCAAGACCTTGGGTCAAAAACGCGTCCCGCTCTCGCACATGCGCAAACCGCCTCGGCCGCAGCGCCGAGAAACCGGCGAGTTTGAGCATGCGTGGGGGTGGCAGCGCGTCCAGGGAGCATCAGAGGACACTAAAATTAGCCCCGCCTCGCTGCCTCCGATTGGTCTAGTTGACCCTAGGGTCTGAGAAAAACTGTAAGGAAGGACCTTGCACTTGTGCAGAAGGGCGGAGGGAGGTGGAAGGCTATGGCGTGGAGATCCCCGTAGAAAACATCTCCTACGTTACTCAGTGCCAGTCCTGTTGGATGGTGAGATCTGCGCAGTGTCTGCCTTCCTTGGACCGTGTTTCATGGGTTCTGGAACAGTTCCTCTTTATTTCAGACGTCTCACAAACTCTTATAAAATAGTAGTTCTTTACTCTTTTTCTCCTTTGAACTACAGAATTTTTACCCCTATCGCCCACTGCCTTCTGTGACAGAAATTTGTTGTTACACATATACACACGCACCCCGATGAAGCAAACTCCCTAAAGGCAGTGCATTGGTTTTTACTGCCAAATCCACCCAGTCCCAACCTCGAACCCTTAGAATAGTTCCCAGAATATAGTAGCAGCTAATTTTTTTAAAATACTGCTTTAATGATTTATGTTCACCAATCAACAACCTAGAGCTAGGTGCCAGAGATACAGAAATGAAAAGACAGGATCCCTGCTTTCAATTTGCTTGCAATCTTCGCCTTAGGTGGGTGAATCGACGGTAATTCCTGACATTGCTTTTGTCCAGGGATGTGCTACAGCCCATTTGCACTGGTTCACACTTACTTGCAAGTGCTGATTGTTAAATGTTCAATAATTTCGTGAGCAGGTTTTTAAATACAGCTGCTCTTTAACAAATAAGTGTACAATTAAGTTAGCTGTTACTTTGTTACAAGACTAACAAAAACAAAAGCTCAAACTCTTCACTTCCTATTTTACTACATTTTACTGTTGCCTATGATTTTGACATAATTCACATGGATTTCATCTGCACGGTGGAAATAGAATGTAACGTGTGCTGCTACACATCCCTATCCAACTTCCTTTTTGATGGCATCCTGTTGGTAGCTTGCAGTTGGCCGTGGTGGGAGTATTTACACCATGGAAATCAGCAAACATTAAAAATCAGGCCCTTGCAGGCGGACCCCCACCCCACCAGGAGTCAGTGGTTTAACATGTACTAACTTGACACTGTTCCTACTGCGTGTTGCTGGGGTATCCTGCCGTTTATGAGCCATGGTACTTGTCTAATAGAATTTCAGTTTTTAACCTTCTATCTTCCTTAACTAGACTCTGAGATCCTGGCTGATACGGCTATATTTCATATCTGTGTTCAAAGCACACACTGAACACATAATAGATGTTTGACCAATATTTGTTGAATGATGTAGACAATTTGAGAACTGTGTAAAACTACACAGACAGGTAAATTGCAAAAATAATGAAAATTTAGCTTGTTTCTAAAAAATAAGCATTAGCTTTCAAACTTCGAAAAAGTGGAGCTCCTATTGCCAAATATGCAACTGTTTTTACAAGTTTTCCTTTGGAAAAGCTCTCTGTGGGGGTGACTTTTCCCGAAAGTCCCCCTCCCCTGTCTGCCACGGATGAAAGTAAACACTACCAAGACGTGATCTGCTTGGGGAGGAGAGGTGGCCAGTTTCTCAGAGGAAAAAGGCCTTGAGCAGTGGCCAGTTTCTCAGGGAAAAAAGGCCTCGAGCCCCTTCCTCCAGGGGCTTTTATTGGGTTGCAATACACAGGAATACTGGGTGGCAAGGATCAAACAGTAGATAACATTTCAAAGAAATCTGAGGGTTTAGTCTGAGTCAGTGTCTGTCAGGGAGTTTTGCAGAAATTTTAGGGTTTCCTGCTCAGACCCTTAACATATGAATGAAATCACTCTTAGCAGAGCAGATTTCACAGGTTTTCCAGGAATTCTTTGTGATGCCAGATTCCCGCCCACCCCCCCTCCCACACACACACACACACACCAGGATCTGCTCTGGCAAGGCAAGGAGCTGCAGCCCTCCCCATCGGGTAGTCAGGCTTAAGTGGATTAGAGCCAGGAAGCACTTCTCCCAGAGGACATGAGGACTTGAGCTATGTCACATAGCCGGGGGGCAAGGGTCCATTGCTCGCTCTTTGTTGCAGCCCCCCGAGTCCTTCCATGATGGCCTCCCAAGTGATCAAGTCTGGCTTAGGGTACCCCTCCTCTGAGGGGTCTTACCCATCTCTGACTTCCGACCAAGCTTTGGGAGCAGGGAGGAAACTGAGGCAGTATTTGCTACCAGAGACAAGATTTGTCTCCTGTGGCTCTCATTCCGGAGGCCACTCGCCCATTCTTAGCCATGGTGGGTAGAGTTACAATTCCTGAAACCAGGCAGAGCTGTCCACAACAGCTCTCAAAGCTGCTTTGTTGATCACGTGCAAAAGGTGCAGAAATCCAAGATCCAGCTCAACAATGAATGCCTACACTAGGTTTTGAGCCAGTGGGTTTTCTCACACCATTCACCAGTCTTAATTTAGGAAAATGTTTGTTTCCAAAAACTAAATCCAGCAAGGCATGCCATCACTGAAGGATTCAAAAAAATCCAGGTGGTAGAGATAATCTCCAAAGAAGTGTTCCAAAATTTCTGAGTACCTACTATTTCTAACAAGTAGGACAGCATCAGAATAATTTTATGGTCTTTACAAGATGTAAAAGTAGGTCCAATATTTGTGGGTCTAAATTTTGCTTGTGTCACTAGTTGTACAGCCTTGGATACATTATTCATAGTACCTGAGCTTTGCTTTCCTCATCTGTAGAATAGGGACAAGGAGGGGATAGTTATGATGATTAAATGAACTCTAACTGCTCGATGACATCTTTGCCTCGATAGACTGATTATATAAGTGGGCAAGGGCCAGATGAGAACCCCAACCCACAGCCCTGGCAGCAAATAGCCTAGGAAGCCAAACTGAAACCCCCGCGGCCATCCTCCCAGGACAGTTAAAACATGGTCCATGACTGCCAGTTTTCCAGTGTTTTCACCTGCATCTAACCCAGAACAAACTGGAGAAAGCCAAATAGACCTGCCAAACCAATGACATAACATGCTCATTTCTACTTAGCCAATTTTCATCTTCCCTTTGCCAACAACCTCCAACCAGAGTACACCTGAACTTTTCCTCATTTTTTAAATATGTTTATTGATTTATTTTTTTTGAAGGGAGAGAGAAAAAATCAACGTGAGAGAGAAACATCAATTGGTTGCCTCCCGTTCGCTCCCTGACCAGGGGTTCAAACTCGCAACCCAGGTATGTGCTCGGACCAGGAGTTAAACCCCCAGGCTTTTGGTGTAGAGAACAGTGTTCTGACCAACTGAGCCACACCAGCAAGGGCTGAACAGTTCCTCAATTTCTATCCATAAAGCTTTTCCACTCCCCTGCCCGCCTGTGAGGCTTCCAAACGTAAGTGATGGTGACAAACTCCTTTGCTCTAGCAAGCTCTGAAAATCTGTTATTTCAGTGGTCTTTGTTTATTTCCACAGTTTCCCTGAAGACTCCATTGAGACAGTCTATCTGTCTATCACCATCAACCCCAGCCTTCAACCCAACGAGGTATCCGCAGAGGCCCCTTGTACCTTGCTGCCTGTGGCTTGTCAAGTGTGTGCCATGGTGGTATGTCAGTGCTGGGCATGAACTCTGCTGTCTTTGCATTGAGCTCAACTATTTATTCTAAGTTTGGTACCCAGGTTTTCTTATTGGTTCCCTTTGTTTGTCATCCTTGGTGGAATCAAGCTATTCCTTTTCATCTTTGTTGGCTCTCTTTTGTACTTCTGTTTTGAACTGTGCTGCCTAAAAGGGTTGTTTGTCATAAGAGGCAGAATCAGAGGGTGGAACACAGGCCCGGGCCCTAGAAACCTGTTGTTGGAGTGGCCTTGTAGACCAATCAGTTTGCAGTTCTCTCCAAACTGGTGTCCATCTGGACGAATTTTGTCGAGGGTAACAGACGAAACTAGATGAGGTCCCTGCTGTTTTAATTTTTTTTCCTGAGAATTTGCCTGTAAGTTAGAGAATGTACTCTAATTTTCCACCTGCTATGGGGCACAGATTTTCATGTCTGTGTTCAGAGGGGGCCAAGTGTCAGGAGGGGAACCTGAGACACTAAGAGCACAAGCGTCACTTTAAACTAGCTGTTGCCAGCTCTCCTGGAGTCCTCTAAGCCTAAATAAATCCTCTCCTCCTCCAGGAGAAACCACTGCTTCTCATCTGTGTTCTCATTACAGTCCTAATTTATGTGCCTAGCTCTCTAAGTGGTGTAGCTTCAGCAACAGGGATTTGAACCTTCAGTGTACACTCTGGGGGACATTTGACTTAAATAAATTTTTTATTCAATAGGCACCTTAAAAAAGAAGGGGAATTAAGATTTCTCAGGTGAATGGGAAGTAGTTTTTGAATGGTATGTAGAATCCTTCAAAAGAAATTCTGGTTCAAAAATTATTTCCCTAAAAAATTATTTGTCTGAAGCTACTGGACAATTGACCAACTTAGGCAACAACAAACTGGACTCATTTTCTAGTATATCCTTCCTCTCCTTGTGCCTCAGGTGCCTCCCCACATCCAATATCCCTCTTCCCCTTTATCCTTCTGATCTCTCTCTTTCCTCACCTCCATCAGCTACTCCCTTCTCTTCCTTTTGACCAGACCCCCTACCTTTCCCTAAAACTCTGTGAATACCACAAAATACTAATTGCCTGTAAAAATATATCTCTTGGATGAGCCAGGTATGCAGGCCCTGGTAGAATTTCAACTTCATCTTCAACCCAAGATGAAGTAAGGGCTGTGATTAAGGATCCTCCCTGCTTTCCAACAAGAGCAGCAACTATTCCTAAAAGAACTTAAAATTCTTTTGGGTGCATATGATTCAGGGTTACCTCACTTACATCAGCTTGTACACATGTTGGTCAGAAATTCAGATGCTAAATCGTGGCTGGCTGATTGGACTGTCCCAAAAAGGAATCTACAGGGTCTCTCTTTCCACAACAGAACTAGGGTTTAAAAAAAAAAAAAGACACTGGCCCTGACTTGTGTGGCACAGTTGGCTGAGTGTCATCCTGCAAAGCAAAAAGGTCGCTGGCTTGATTACTGGTCAGGGCACATGCCTAGGTTGTGGATTTAAGGCAACCAATTGATGTTTCTCTGTCACAATGATGTTTCTCTCCCTCTCTTTCACTCTCCCATCCCCTCTCTCCAAAAAAATAAGTAATTAAAAAAAAATAAAATGGCCTGAAAAGTAGGGCAAAATCTCCTAAAAGTAGTTTCCCAAAACATTTCCAATAAAAAATTTATTGGGCCATAATTCAATCATGCAAACAGAAAAAGATGAAAATATGGGAGATTTTTTATGATTGACTGAAAAAGATCTTCAGACATCATTCAGGAGTTAATGAAGGTATGAGTGTAAAAGCAGCTTTTCCATCTCATCCTGTCAGTGGAGTTAAAACTAAAACTGGAAGCCTAATTTAAAAACAGAAATTAAAATGGGAAATAGCACCTTTGCCTGAACTAAAGCACCTGTCAGAACATTGAGAGGGATTTAGAATAAAAGACAGACGGAATCCAAAATAAACTATGATCTTGCAAATCAAAGAGCCGGGTGGCCTACTTCCCAAGTCACCGTACCTAACAAGGGCAGTGTAGATGGTGTAAAGAGAAGGGACACTTGGAAAAGAGAACGTCCCATCTTACAAAAACCAAGACAATGAAAAGCCCTCGATTCTGATCAGCGTGGAGAAGGAAAACCTCCCGATATCCCAACTTACCCTTAAACGCTCAAGTTCAATAAACATAGCTGGTCAGCCTTATCACTTCTGGTAGTAGGGTGCTACTGTTACCACATTAAACCCCTCATTTTTGCTCAGCTTCTTCCTGTGTGTCAAATCACCCACATATTTTTTTCTATCTCCCAGCCCTTAACTGTATGTAACCTGGGGCCCTTGAATGAAAAATGTCTTCCTGTGCTGTGACATCACCCCTGCAGATTTAATAAGGAGAGGCTTACTCTGCAAATAGAATTGTAATATTAAATGTTCAACAGAGGAACTATTTCTTAACGTTCTGAAGAACTTTTCTATTCATAATCAAGTTGTGCCTGCCCCGAATATAACTTTGCCTTTCCTGTTACATTCGATGCACACCCAGATAATGGTCTTTAACATCGTACCTGATACTCTGTGGCCTTCAAAGTCCACTAACACCAAAAAAATAATCCGGGTGGAACCCAGAAGGTAGATAGATCCCAGTACCAAACAAACATCTGCAGTGTCTCTTGAAGTCAGAAGCAGAGAAAGGGTTCCACGCTATAGCTGACGGCCTTACATCCGAAGGTCTTCTCAGACCCTGAACTACCCCTTGAAAGACCAACTACGTCGGTCTTGCAAGTAAAGACACCAAATGGATAGAGATACCATTTTATTCAAGACCTCAGGACAATCAACAAAATGTTTATCCCTCACTTGCCATTAATACCAGACTTGGCATCAACTCTACCTGGAGCTACTTTGCTTGCCTTTCCCGACCTGTCCACCCAGGATATCACATTGCTTTCCATAATCATGTCTCTTAGTTTCCTTGGTTTATGACTATTTCTCGGGGTGTTTGTTTATTTTCCGTGACTACAAGTTTTGAAGAGTGTTTGTCAGGTGTTTTCTAGAATGTTTCACCACTGATCTTGCCAATCCTCTCTGTGTTCTCTATTTTTCTAATTTCTGGTCTTATCTTGATTCTTTCTTTTCTTCTATTTTCTTTGGGTTTATTTTTCTATTCCTTTACTAACTCCAGATAAAATCTTAGCTCAGAAAGGTTTGGCCTTTTTTTCTTTTCTGCTATACACTTCCCCCTACTCCCTTACTATCAACAAAACCAATCGTGGTTTCTGTGAAAAACTAATGGTGAAGTCAGAGGGCGAGTCCCTGTCCCGAGGCCATGAAAACTGCAAGAAGGGAGTGAGGATGGGGGATTGGGGGTAGGCACGTGCAAGTGCCCAGGGAGGAAGAGAAGGGGCCAGATTTTCAATGGGAGGTTTACAATGAAATGGTGTATACTCTGGAGGAAATCCTCATCCTCCATGACCCTATAAAACACTTGGTAAAATAGTTTTTTCTTGTGAACCCGCTATGGGATTATTAGGTCTATTGTGGAGATGCCTTGAAGCACTGTATCCTGCTGTAAAGGTGGGTGGAAAGTGAAGGCATCTCAGGCACCTGGTCCATCTGGCTTACACGAACATGAGCTAACCCTGAGCCTGCGTGCCGGCACTGCTCTAAGGACTTTACCTGCAGTAAGCCACCCTTTGGGTAGGTGTGATCTTCCTCGCCCCATTTTACAAGTGAAGAGGCTAAGCCCAGAGAAGCCACGTGAGACCACACGTCAGTCAAAGGAAGCAGCCAGGATTCACACCAGGGTGTCTGCCTCTGGAGGCTAAGCTCTTCACCACTTCCCCCCCGCTGTCAGAGACAAGAAAAGATGCCCGCCATATTGGTGCCAGGGCCCTCGGTGCTGAAAACCCAAAAGGCGTCACAGCCCCCTCGGCTCCATCACCACTCAGGTCTCCTCCGCGGGCCATCTTGTCAGGCACCCCTTTCTCTCCACCTGCCCCACCACCACCCTCTGTAATCCCCCCATTGCAGAGGACAACTGCAGTGACCTGTCTGCTTCTACCTTTGCGCATCCTCTTCCATCCCTGTCCAGTTCCCACTCAGCAGAGGGTATCCATCAAAGCACATCCTTCATCTGCTTGAAGATTCAACACTTTCCCATCACACTGAGCACACAGTCCAGACCCTTCACCTGGACTCCTAAGGCTCTGTAAAGTCTGGCCCTCATTGATATCGAGCGCTGCCCTCCCTTGCACTGGGCTCCCACCCGCTGACCTCCTTGCAGACCATGAAACTTACCAACTTTTCACTTTTCCCACCTCCGGACCTTCTCACCTGCTGTGCTTGCTGCCTTAAATGAGCTTCCCCTTCACATCTGTATGGCCGGTTCTTACTTTTCCTTCACTGTAAATGTCACCTCCTCTGAGAGGACTTCCCTGACTACATTATTGAAGTAGGAACTTAATTTGAAATAAAAAAAAACATATTTTTCAAATTTTTTTAATGAGTTGATTACTTTTTACCTGACTTTTTACCTATTCTTCCTAGCAGCTATCATGTGCCTGGCACATGGTGTGCATTCAGAAACATTTTTGGGTGAATAAGTGATAAGAATGGGTCCCGAGGATGGCTTATCATTTGACGGTTGATGAATAAACCCAGAAGTGGAGAGCAGAGAAAGAGCAGGGGCCAGGGATGAGCAGATGACACCTCATGTGATGAGGGTACTCTAACTTGAGGAAATGTTTCCCAGTGGCGATGCAAACAGACACATGATGACCACATCACTTTGTCATTCCATTCGCGTGTGTTCTCAGATGTTTGGGGTAGGGAAAATGACAAGTCTTTTAAGAAGCATGGCAGGATCTGGCTGTCATCAGCCTCATTAATGAGGCTGCTCGAGCAATCTAAAGCAAAGTAACTTCCACACCAAGGCCAAGCTTCAAAGAGCAGTTGGAAGGAAGAAGTGAGGGAGCAGTAGAATCTGTAACTAGGCTGTTCAGAGAAGTCTCCTGTGATTAGAAAAAGGGGGGAAATGCAGTAATTACATTTTGCTGAGACTCAGAGAATTCAGAAAGCATGGTCTCACCTTCATCTTCCCTTTTTCAGATGGAGAAAGATGAAATAAAAGTAGATGTGGATGTAGCAGAAAGTAATTTCAGGACTTCCCTGGGATGAGTAAAGCAATTCTCTCTCCAGTGCGGAGACAGGGAGGTAGAGAAAGCTTCCTCCAAGCGGTAAAGCTGCAGATGTAGTTATAAAGTGACAATACCCAGTTAAAAGCAGGAGCAAGAAAAAAGCTGCAGGAGTCCTATCAGGAGTCTGTGAACTGGCCCAGAGCCTGGGGCTTGCTGACATTTGAAAGAGACTGAGGAAGAGTTTCAGAGGCCTTGGACTTGGAGTTCTGGCGGGTAATGGAGCAGTGATAGCAGGAAGTGGTCAAGTAGTGGTGGGAATCAGGCAGGTGGGGTTCAG